CAACGTAAGAATATGACTACATGTTGAAATGATTTATTCCAGCTAATAGTAGTAAAAAGTTTCATTTCGACAGTTTCTGTAACATCAACTTTCAAGTATAAACGATCGTATAAAATCAATTTTCAAGAATAAACGTTCGTATAAAGTTGACGACGCATTGGAAACATCGAAGAATTTCCGTATATTGATGAATTTGGTAATAGCATCAGATCTCCTCTCTTCCTAATGTTTATCATAACGTTTTTTGCATGCTTTCTCGATTTTTCGCTCTGAAAATCTCATCTCAACATTCTAACAAGCATGAAAGTGATAGCGGTGAAATACTGATATTTCCTTCTGATAGCTGTAAGATGATAAAATTGACTATTAGATGATAATGTGTAATTACATATGCCGTAACAATCTAACCAAAGTGATTTTTGAGTAAGCTAAATGATCCTGAAAAGTATTTGCGGAAAAGAATTTACCTGGGTTCAGTTGATCGGTCAGATTTCCAGTAAGAAATTTAAAAGCGGATGAAAAGATGCTAGGTGTTTCTGATATATAGTCTTTATCTGACAATATGGTCATCTTTTTGACGTACACTGATCACTAAAGATCGATATGATAAGCTAATCAAGCACGCTGTAAAATTTTCAAAGTGCACAAGGTACGCCCAAAATTTTTTTTTTAAATTGAAAATACAGCTCAAATGAATGATATTGGAAAAGGTCATACAGATTAGGAAAATAATGATAAGACTCATTTCATTTTATAGGGAAAACCAATGGGCAATGAAATAAAAGGTAGAGAAAAGTGAAGTGAATCATTTTTGTGAACAAGAAAAAGCTTTTAAGCAAGAAAGGAGGTTTAAAATGTATTGGTAAATATTTGAAAATGCAAAAAAAGAGAAAATAATACGGAGAGCGTTCATTAATAGTTGCTTCATTGATAGGACAGTTTAATGAAGGAGTGATTTGATAAAGAATCCACCAAGATAACTATCGCTCGCAAATTCGAGAAGCGGAGAATGTGCTAACTTCATGTATTACTGACCATGCTACGCAATGTGAGCAGAACATTTATCGTCAATACATCAACATTAACTTAATACCGAATGATGGCCGGATAACGATCATCAGTGATTGGAACAAAAACGGTGAAGTCGAACTAGAAGAGGTCAAAGAGGATTGAGATGTTTGAAAGGAAATAGGAGCCTCATTTCGAATGTTTACGTCTCACTTGCAATGAAGCAGTGCTATGAGGATAGGTCAGCTCTGATAATCATATCATCTGTTTTTTTGCTTCTTAGACTAAACGGTATTGCATTTGTTTTGATTTAAAAGTCATTCATTCCTATTCGGACACCAATTATTCTGGACTTTCAAATTAAGATCTTTAAAATCAGAATGACCAAGTTTTTCTCATTAGGAAGTTAAAATATCTTCTGTCAAATGGTTGATTTAATTTCATTTAAATCCCATCTCTGTTATCTCTAATTCATTTAATCACAAAGCATTCCTTATATGTTTAATTTACGCCATCGTTTCTTATTTTATATTTCATGAATTACTTTTATTACCTTACCTTTTACTACTCATTTTTTCATTAGCCTGAAATTAGCAACATTTTGTATCTTTTGTGCATTTGTACTTGCAATGAATATGAAAGTCTTTGAATCAAAAGTTTCTTTTTAATACTTAATTTTGAATTCCCTAATATTGTGAACATTTTGAGAAAGCGTAGAAGAATTTTAAAAAATTTTAGATTTCTCTGACAAAATAAATTTTACTGGATTTAATCTATTGAAGAGATAAAGACTGGATAATTTGAATAAATAAGGAGATTAATAAGTACATTTGTCTAGACGTCTATCTACTTTAATGAATAATTATTTTAATTATGATATAAATTCGTTACATTACTAAACAGATAGTTTTTTATTCCAGTGTTTTCCGTTTCCGTGTAATCTGTAAGTGTAATCATCCAAAGTTGATGCTTGACATATGTTTGATATTATATATTTGAAGACTTAATTTATTAAATGATATTAAAAAATGCTGAAAATATATGTTTAAAAAATATTGCATGGTTAAAACTGAAATTTTATTGTTAAATGCTTGTATTTGAAAAATGAAATTTAATTGTTAAATCCTTGTTTTATTTTTGCAATTATAGGTGTAGAATGTATGAATGTTTTCGTTAATTTGTAGTCAAACGATAGTCCCTACTGAGATTACAGAAATGTGAATTAGTGGCAATTTTTTAAGACTGCAAATATTCTTAAATTTAGCATTACTAAAGTGACAGCTTATCAATCTTAATTTCTCTCTCGAGTCGCTCATTCTATTCTTTTGAGTCAAAAAATCAGGACTATGAATGATAGCTTTAAAACTCTTTTCAATTTGAGGGGATTCAGGTTTAAACCTTAAACTATCCTACATAAATCGAGAATATAAATTCGATTGGATTTGCTCAACTAAAATTCTATGAAATCTTTCATGTAGCATTTTTGCATCTACATTTCACACTATTCCATATTTTTCAAATTTTTATCAAGAATTCAATTTTTTTATCTAAGAAAGTGTACAACAAGAAACTGTAAAATGATTCATAAAGAAATTTCAATGTTCGAAGCGAAATATTCAATTTCCACAAGAAAAAACCTAATGCCAACAAACCTGCGAGCAATTTTTAGTGCTAACACCTTTTACGCTTTCATCCCTGATGTTTATCTTTTTTTACAGTCTGTTTTTTTCATGAAGGAATCATTTTTTTCACTTTTTTTTGTCACTTTTTGATTGAATTTCCAACTTTTATAACATTTCAACAACATTTTAATGCATTAAAATGATTTTTTTGTTACCTTACCGTTTCTCTTTACTCTTTAACCAAACGCTTTACTTTTTTTGCAATAATTTAAGCAACAGATATCATTCAAGGCACTAATTGAATGTATTGAAAGTTGAATACACTAAATTGAAATCTGAGAGATATTGTGAATTAAAAATTTCTATTCTAACTTTACTTCCAAATATAATTATAACATTTGAAGTTGAATTTAGTCAGAAATGAAAAAACTGATGAATGGAAAAAATGGTTCAGATTGTGGAAATATATAATATTTTTTTCTGCAGCATTATCTGATAGCCGATGAAACTGATATTAATGACTTATGAGAAATGATACAAAACGGTATTGGTTCTTCCATTTGCAAATCGATTTTCACAACAAGTAGTGATCAGTGCAATATATCTCATAACGATATAGCTTCAGGTATTTTTCAAAGTTCAGAAAGGAAAGTGAAAATTAGAATATTGTCCTTTTTTTCTCTTCCTCCTTTTTTCCCCTATTCTGAATATTAATTTCCGAATTCTCATTTTCTTTACTAATATTTGAGTCGTTTTTTCGGTTATGCATTATTTACTGTGTTGTAGAAAATATTTTAAACAAGCTTTTACTTATTCGAGAATATTAATTATCGGGAAAAAACTGAGCATAAATAAATAAAATTGATAGTTCTCTGAATCAAAAAAAGCTCATCTTCTGAGCATAGCGGTCCCGTGCAGATGAATATCTCATGTTCATTTCTTGACATTTGACCTAATTTAGTGAAAAACATTCGTGAAATCAACAAAACGGAGAAAAAATTATTCAATCATGTCTATTATATCGGAAACACATGCAATAAAAATTCCTCACATAATATTGCTTCCAAAAAAAAATGTTCCTAGCTAACACAGAATTGGAAAAAAAAATTGAAAAATCGTTTGTATGCGAATCATTGATTGGAAAAAATTGTATAATTTGAAATAGCTATATCAAAGTTAGGAATAAAAGATGAAAGATTTTCTTAAGCTGCAGATTTGGTTTAAAAATTAGAGTAATTTACAACTTATAACTTAGGAATTTGATAATCAGAAAAGTGAAGATGGAAATTTCAAGTTTGAACTGAACTGAAAATTTTGCTTTGGAATTTCTTTATATTTTCATATTATCATTCTAAATTTCCTTATTTATTTCTTTTTTTACTGGACTGAATTATCAGATGGTTTCATATGATTTCACCTAATAAAATAATAATCCTAATATGAAACTGTGAAGATAAGAGAAGTAAAGCAATAATGCAAGACAAAGCTGTGAAAAGTTTGAAGTTATCTGTGAAGCATGTAAGTTCATTGAAGTGAATTGAGAAGAAAAGATTATGCAAAGATTGAAATAGAATTTATGTTTTCATATTTCTAAAGTATTCCTAAAGATTATTCTAATTTGTCGGACCGTTGGAAAAATATCCCTTGAGACCGGAGATGAAAAATGTTTCTCCGTATTTTTCCATCTCAAATATACTGCTTTTGTTGTCTGTTCTCTCCACTAGTTTATAAAGTTCATTTTTCCTTCACCAAGAATTTTTGAATTAAAGAAAAAAGTGATATTCGCAAAATCTATGATAGGGAGGAAGAGTTATCCAGCGAACCAATCAGTTCACCGAAAAATATTCAAAAATTCACCCATCTCTTTTCCTATTATTTTTTCCTTCCTTTAGGGAGATCTTTTTTTCCTCTCATGTCATGCAAGCCACATATTTTACTTGAATATATGTGCGCTTTTTTTTGAAAGTAAATTGACTTAAAAATGGAAACGAAATTGGTTTAAGAACAAAGGATGGGATGGGCAGTAAGGAAGACTTTTGGCCTTTTAAATGCAGATATAAGAAAACTGCAGCAGCTATATAAAGGCAGTAAAGCTTAAATGAGCTGAAGACGAACTTTGTCCAATCAACATCTTCATATTTAAAGACTGCCGTAGAATTTCTTTAAATCGAGAATGTTTAAATCACATAACATTTCCCACTTACTTTCCTTTTGCCTTTTAAGTAAGAAAAAAAAATGAAAGTTTCGGTGAACGATTTCTGAAAATTAGCAACATTCTTTGTTAATTTCTCTATTTCATTTTGCAACTGTATTTTGCTACAATTTTTCTTATTAGCAACGCTGTAACTTCTCTATCCTGTTGAAATTCATATGACAGCAAGCGTTATTGGACGACTCGTCAACGCTATTCATTTAAATGCAACACCTCCAAAATCAAATTCTTTACTTGTATTCGTCTGCAAATTAGGTAAAATTTCTTGCATATATTATCTATTATTGTATAAAACATTTATTTAAATATCTTTTCTTTGGCTGAGAAAAAAGGTGTACGTTTATTTGGAAAGTAATTTTGGTTGCAAAGAATTCTTCTAAAAATGATAAATTTGTGTATGCTACAGAATATAAATATTAAATTTTCACTATGATAATTGTAATTAGTTACTGATAAAATTGTCAAAAAACTATTTCTTTTTTTTTTCTTTCCAAATCAAATACAAAATTAAGGGAGTAGAAAAAAATCGAAAATTTATAACCAGTTCCGAAAACTAATTAGCGCTATCTGTTTAGTTTTCAGAAATTATTGGGCTTCTTACAGAATTGAAGATTCATTATCTTTTTAAGCTTATTTTAATTACGATAACTAAGTTTCTTAAATTCCAATCTCCAATTTCATTTTCCTCTTACTTTTTTATTTTGTTTTTCAAGACAGTTTTGCTTCTGATCTGTTTACTCATTGCATTATTGCACGTAATTTTGACATATTGAGGGAAATTTTTTTTTCTTTAAATTAATAACTGAATTTTATTTACAGAAATTAAAACTGTAAAATCGGTTTGTGAAATGAAAATATGGATTTGCTACATTTCACTATCTCAAGAACTTTTTTCTATATCAACCTACCAGATTTCAGGAGACGTAGAAATTCTTCACCTGAGGCCTTATTTATAACCAGACTTTGTTCTAAACTATTAAAAAGCTTCTAGTATTTGCAAATTAAATTTGCCAGTTTTTTATATGAAGCTATAGAGGAGATGTAATTTTCTGAGTCACATAGAATCTTCAAAATTTCGTTATTACTAATATTGAAATGTAACCAGCGCTGTGACACTGTTTATTTATTTTTCGCAAATTGCAGTGAAGTATTGGTGCAACTCGGTTTTTTTCTTCCATTTACGTCAGTTGCTTTTAGCTTCATCACATACAAACAATCCCGCAATACATGGTTTCATAATTGGTGATGAACCGATTGCTTTATTTCGATCGGAACTTGAAAAACTACAACACATATTACATTTTCCCGAGGAATTGGCCTTTCAGGTATTAAAAAAACAGTACTGATTTTAAATCTATTTTTAAATATATTAAGAACAACTATTAATTAATGATTGCCAGCGTGTATTAAGGACAAAAAAAAACTCTGAATAATTTCTGTGTCTGATACTAATTCATTATTTATCAGATTATTTGGTAGATTTTTTTTATTGCTATATTCAGTTTATCCTTTTTTCTTACCTTTAGATTAAACTTGTTTTCAGACGATCCCAAATTGTCCAATTTTTTTCTTCTCTCTATATTTTTTTCACTTTTTTATCAAATGATTTTATAAAAAAAAGACTTTATAAAAGCATTAAACAACAGTTCGTTTTGACCGAAAATAGAACTATAGTGTCTTTGCAATTTGAAAATCTTTAAGACTATATTTTTGAGTTTTCTTTAAAAGAAAGCATTGCCAAAAGCTTGTCCCAATATTATCCGGAATATATTGATATGAGCTTGAATTGAGTAGGTTGATAAATTAATTTTTGAAAAAGAAAAAAGTATTCAGAATTAAGGATTCACGTATGATAGCAATAAGTACGTATGACTTTCAGTTATCAGCAACTGAATATCAATTATTTTATGAAATGCAACCGATGGACTATGTTTATTATGTGAGCTGCGATCTAACTTCAATAGCAGTTGCAGACAATCCAAGTCCAATTCGAAATCTCGTTAAACGCTTGTCTGAGATATGTTGCTTTTTTGAAAAATTTTTTATTATTCGTCTGTTTCATCACTTATTGTTTACTTCATCTAAACTTGTAATATAAAGCAATAAAATATAGTTATCAACAAATTGTTGAACGAGTTAACCATAATTAGCTTGAGGTCAGCAACCGTATAAGCATCCTTTAAGAAAGCTTCGAATTGAAACAATTCTTAGATCATCGGTAAATTTGCGCATAATTTCAAAAATACTTATTTTCATCAAACGGCTAATTTCTCATATTTAGGAATCGAAAATACTAATTATTTGATCAATAAATCAATAAGTCAAATTTTTATATTAAAAAGAAAAAAAACTTTTTTTGTACGCACTCGCCCGTTAAGAAAATGACAGCGATCAATAATTTTTCAAAAATTTCGTTTTTCAGATAAGTTCATGGATAACTCATCTTATAGTAAGTATGCCAACATCTGGGGAACGGAAAACAATTCTTACTTTCATCTTTCGAATGATCGATGTGTGCTGGAACATTGGTTAATTTTTATTACAAACTTGTTAATATTGTTCACTTCTCTCAAATCTCTTTTTCGTTTTACCAAGTTTCGAAATGATTCCCTACTTCAAAATTATATTTAATCATCGATTTAAAAAAAAAACGGCCGATTTTGCAGCATTTACAAGAAGGGGTTATAAGTTCTTAAAATATTTGCTAAAGAATTTATATTTTGATATGACACTGAAATATTTGAATGTTTTTTACCTCTCTAAATAAAATGTTTTTAAAAATATACATATATGTACTTTTTTCTTTTTTTTTGAAAAAGTGTAATAAGTTGAAAAGAAAATCTGAAATGATTAAAATAAACGGAATAAAAGAAAAAAAAATTTTACACAAATTATTACCTTTATTCAAATGGTTCTTCAAAATTTCGATATTTTTAGGTTTTCATATTTAGGTAATTTTAATGCAGCAGTTGAAATTTTGATGGGATTAAAAAGTGAAAAATTACGGTCATTTTGGTTATTATTAAAACCTGAGGAGAAGAAAAAATATGAACAGGTTGCTTATTATTGATAAAATTTTCATATTTTTTAAAAATTTCATTTTTTCTTCAATATGATTTTTATCCAAAAAATACTGTATAAATTTATAACTGACAAGGAGTTATTCTTGAAGATCGATAAATCAATTCTTATTTAATGATCATTCCTTGCCAATTATTCTTTGTCTTAAAAATTTCTTCATTTGTTCCATGTATTGATGCAAAAATTTGCGTTCTGATATAATTTTTGTTTAATAATAAAAAAAGAAACGAAGATAATGTGTAAAATTTATAGCTTTGTGAAACCCTTTTGCCCAGCAATCAAGCGGCTTTATCCACAGCTTATCGAGAAGCGATTCACAGAGCTTTACGGATGCCACAATGCAGAGTGATTCCTTTTTTTGGTGTCTTCTTGCGTGACTTATATGCGATAGTAAATGATATGCCAAGCGTTCTGTTGACTGATGATGAAGATGATAACGACAAACTTGAGGTATCACTCCGGCTCTGTTTCGTTGATTGTAAAAAAGATAGTAACAAGTTAAAGAAATGTAATTTATTAAAAGATTTTTGAATGGTTTTTTAGTTTATGAATGAACAAAGTGATGAGGGTCATTATGCGTCCGAAACTGGTGTTAGTGGTTTGTTAAATGCTGATAAGATCAGTCTGGTGGCTGTGGTACTTGGTAATTTGGAATTATTTTATCGCCATTATAAGAATATATCCAACTTTGTTGCGGATCCTACTAGGCCAAGTATTGGAAAAGAAAATCCAAAACCCAAGGTATGCTTACAATCTTGGTTTTTCAAAGCATCTTAAGAACAAAAAAAAGACATGTGGTGTTCAAGAGATTTCGATCTTTCAAACAGCAAATTTTTAGGGTTACGATCCAGTACAACCGATAAAAGGTGTTGTGAGAAATATTACTTTGGTACCTTTGGATACGAATCGCTTTGATTTGGATGTAATCCAGCGGCTTCATCATGGTACCACAGTCATTCGGTATGATCCGGATACAGGTCGCAGCACACTTTGCATGCTGAAATTGGATGCCAGTTGTGGTTTATTGTCATGGCGTAAAGTTGGTTATTTGAGAACGAAGGAAATGAGAGATAAAGTATTTTCCAAATTGGTCATTTTAATTAAGGCCTTTGAATGAGAAATTTCTCACACAAAAAATTTTGCAGATTTTCTAAGAGATCTGCTCCGGTATATGGAATTCGCTAGTTAAGAATTTCGTGTCTTTCAAACGGACTGCAAGATGAAGTCCTCTTTACTTGTCAAAAAGCTTCTTCCATTCTAATTTATGAGAATATCTTGAATATATTCTAGGATGCACATATTCCATCGGTGTCACGAATTCAAAGCGGAAAACCACAAAGTATGACACCGCTAGAAAGTCGCAATCCCCCTTCATCACCAAGTTTACGACCAGATGGAGCTGCCTGTACTACATTGGATTGTGGCTTTTTAAAGCTTTTCTATGTTAAATCTATTGAAAATGTTGCTTCAAACGATATCGATATTGAGGTCAAATTACTATTAAAAATTATCAGATTAAAAATTTTTTCCTAAAATAGCATTTTCAAATCTAGTCGAGATAGCCATTGTTTACAATAGATGTAACTGTTAAAAACAAACAATAAATTTGGGGATGCACACAAGAAAAGAAATATGCTAATTAACTTCCATTATTTCTGGAAGCGGAACGACTTGCATAGAAGTGTTTTTAATTTCAAAAGACTGTCTCTCAGGGCATTTATCGACGACATAGCAACGAAGAAATGTCTGTGCAAATGTATTGTTGGACGATAAATTTTGGTTGTTATTTGTCTGATAATGAATTTTTATACTTTATTGCACCAGAAAAAAGTGCCCATTGCTGGATAACTGGGCTAACCACTGTATGTTTGTAATTTAAATTAAATATGATTTAGTGAAATGTTTAACTTTCAATGAATTAAGAAAAAAACTATGATGCGCCTTTTTTTGATTGAATTGGAATTAGATCTCTACAGTTACTTTAATGTAAATAAAGAAATTTATAAAAAGATAATCTGAAATTTGCTCTTTAATCTTCTTGATAGCTAATCCTTTTTAGATTGTAAATTACTTACTAGAACAACAGAAATGCGTAGATCGACGAGTTTTATGGCTTAGAAAATTATATTTACAACTGTGTACAAATTACGAACAGGATAAGATGATCGATGAAGGCATAACGTCTAGTCCACATCCTTATAAAGCTCTTCAGGCTTTTGGTGGCCGAACCGAAGGATGGAAGGATTTTGGTATTACTATATGAGGATCTTGAATCTTAACAGTTTTAACGATTTGTTGATATTTTTGAAGGTGCTTTAAGTATTCTGCTTCTTGTCAGGTTTACAAACTATTGTTTCAAAACCACTTCAATCAGGAACGTTTCGCTCTGCAGAATTTGCGGCGGCAAAAGATCGTTTAAAACAAATGACAAGTGCTATTACTCGACGAATGAAATTCGTAAGCCGTAGTAGTGCTCATTCACAAAGTCCACAACCATGTGTTTAAAAATCCAAAATTTGAAATATTAATAATTTTTGAATATTCTAAATTTCGAATGGCTTCAAATTTCATTTCAAAATTTCTTAATAATTGCTTAAGAAAAAGAAATAGAAAAGAGAGGATGTTTGAATGATTAGCACTTCAGAATATACAATTAAGAGAAGTTTGAAAATTCATGGATTAGTATATTGTAGCCAGATATCACAAGACATTTTTATAATTGCAAATACTCCTATCTTTTAATTTTCAGACACGATATCAGTCACTTCGAAATCGTATAGGTGACGAACAGTTCACGATATCAGATCCAAGCACACCAAGAGAGATATCGAGATCATGTGATAGTTCTTCATCAACAGATACCGCTAGTCTTGACATCTGGTACAAATCTAAAAGACTGTCAGCAAAAACTTTAGGCTCTTTCCGCTCTGGAAAAATGAAAAAGTGAGCGTAATTTTAATATACATAATAGCCTCCGAATTATCTAGAAATGTGTTTTAAAATATTTGAGAAAAAATTTTGCATTGTAGGCGAATCTTGTTCTAAAAATTGATTAGTTGTTATCTTTTAGTAGTATGAATATTTTGAAAAAAAACGAAAAATTTCTAAATCATTGCTATTTTTTTATAGAACAAAAGTTTCCGAAGATGCAAGTTTAAGCTCAATTATCTCTAGAGAATTTTCGGTGTCTTCGAAATCTTATGAAGAAGAATGTTCGGAAAAGCCTGTTACATTATTTGAGTTTATCGAATTATATAAATTATTTAATGCAAACATGCGAACAGATCTGAAGTAAGTTTATTCATGGAAAAATGTATTTTGAAAGATTTTAATTCTTACAAAAATATATCAATGATAATGATTGTACCGGTGTTTTTTTCTACTTTTAGAGATATTTTCAACGATTTTCTTGTCATGTGCGGTTGTGACAATGGAAGTGCAATTAAGCATGGAATCAATCAAAAGATTTCACAAATGGAGTCAACGCTTTCAGATATTGAATTTATACCAAACGGTTCATAATTCAACGTAAATGTCTGACGAAGATGAGGAAGACGGCAAAATTTACATAGAAAATTATACGCTGATATATATGTATCGTAATTTTGCCTATTTCCATCTCTTATTTATTCAAGCAAAACTGTTTAATAATATTTTCTATGGTTGTTTGCAGATATCCTTACAAGGAATACTTTTACAACAGCTCAACATATTAGTGAAAAGCAACAGAAGGTATACAATGCATTAGCTCGTGCCAGTTTAAACAGGTGTTTTTTTTAAAAAAGCGATAACTTCAAATTGATCATTGTTTTTTCTTTGGAAATATAAAAAATACAAATGAATAGATGCGTTTTTCTTTTGCAAACTGTCATTATAAAATATACTGGTTGAATTTTCCAATAGAATTTTATAGAAGGAATTGTGAGAGAAAGTAAAAAAATAACAATTAGCATTTAAATAGCTAGAAATATCGAAAAAAATCCTTATTATATTATAAGCATAAGAAATTCCGATCTCTTTGTATGAATCGGTGAGCTTATTGATGATATAATTTGAAATTTTCGTAAAGAGTATATTATTATTTCAGTACGGATCAGACGGATGAATGTTCATTTCTAACTCCCGCAATGTTGAAACGATTTATTGAGATATATCAAATGGAAATTGTGGATAACGATTATGCTAATAAAATAATTCAGGTTCTGTAAAATTCCGAACAAAAGATTTCACGAAATTATATATCATTTGTTGCAAAATTTTTGACTGAAAACATTCATTCATTCTTCCAGGAACACGAACCGGATCCAACTTACCGGAGTAATCAGCAACTTTCATTTGAAGGATTTGTACGCTATATGACAGATTCAACAAATTATGCATTTGTTCCTGAAGCAATTGAACCCGATCAGGATACACTTCATTATCCATTAAACTATTACTATATCTGTTCAAGTCACAATACTTATCTCACAGGTCATCAACTGAAAGGTGAATCATCCACTGAAATGTATCGCCAGGTTGGATTTCCATGCATGTCATTATTAATTCTACAGTCATTGCTTATTATCAATAATAAAGCAACTTCAAAAAAAAATTCTTGCTTGTTGTATTTTTTTTATGTAACCCAAATATTTCAATCAAATTTGTTGGGTTTTGAAATTGTAAATTGTAAATATTCGATGCTACACGGAAAGTTGCATATAATATTCTTTAATTAAATCATGTAAAGCTTTGAGATAAAGTTTGTTTAGAATTATAGGTGCTATTAACAGGCTGTCGTTGTGTTGAATTAGATTGCTGGGATGGTGAAAATGGCTTGCCTCAGATATTCCATGGTCATACTTTAACGTCCAAAATTAGTTTTCGTCAAGTGCTTAGTGTCATCAAAAAGAGTGCCTTCGTTACTAGCAATTTACCTGTTATTTTATCAATCGAAAATCATTGTTCACTTCAGCAACAAGGAAGAATGGCTCAAATGTTTAAAGTTCGATTTCAACCTTTTTAAACTGTGATTTTAAAATTTTGCTTTGCTCAATATTTCATTTGAAGCAATGCTTATGTTCATTTCAGAATTACTTCGGGGAAAATCTTGTTACATATTTTTTGTTCGAAGCTGACTATAGTAATTCACCACGACTTCCGTCACCGTGGCAATTACAGAATAAAATTTTAATTAAAAATAAGAAAATGATCGCAGAACCAAGTGCTGGACTACGGATGGATAAATATTTTATCAAAAACGAAGGCGACATTATGGAACAGATAGAGTTTGTTTACATGATAACATAACTTACTTTTCCTTTAAATAAAATAATTTTTTTTTAAAAATAAATGCAAAGAATTTTCAGTGGATTCTATGGAATAGATGAAGATGATCTTGAAGAATTTTATGATGACCTGGACGACGAAGAAGCAGGTCAATTACATTTTAATACTGATTCCGTGTAGACCTAAAAACTTCTCAAACGATGTAATTCAAAATTAACTACTTTTGATATTATGCAGATTCGGAAAGCCCGAGGGTAATGAACTGGTTGTCAAGAGGTACAACACATGAATCGTCCAGTGAAGCTGAAGAGGAGCACAAGTATTCTGTGCCCAAATTAACGCATACTGTTTGTTTTAACTTTTAAAACTTTTAACAATTCAAGTACTTCAAAAGTAGTCTTTTTTAAGAGTATTTTTGAAACACCGATCGAAATTCAAAAGACCATATAAAGTTGTAGAAATTATAATTTACATGCACCATAAATCATTAATGCTATGAATTTGGTATGTAATCTGTTTCATTTTTCATTTCAAAACAGTTGAATTAATTTGCCGTTTAATGTTACACAGCTGACTAGTCTAATCAGTCTGAAATTCATGTATGCTGTATAAATCACATCATCTCACCGGTATATAACTTTATTTATGGCACTTTTTTTGTTTAATTCTAGATAAATGCACTATTCGACTCGAGAATAGATGATGAATCATTGCCAGCTAATGGAGAAAGAATGTCGCAGAGGCTCATTAAGAAGATACCGGGACCTCCAGTTGCACCTGAATTATCAGATCTGGTGAATTATATGCAGGCTGCCAAATTTAAGGTAGCGTGAACCGTCTGATTGTGGCCATTTGAACTTCTCTCAGTATAACTTTTATCTAATCTTTAGTTTTGCAAAAAAAAATTTTTTTTTATTGTAGAATGGCGTAAATAGCTAATATTCTTATTTGTGGTTTTCAAAGCATTGCATATATCTCTCATTCAGTGCTATTTAATCATGGAAGAATTTTCCAGGGTTTTCCAAGAATGATCGATTTTGTTCATCGACGGGAAGAATCTGCAAAATCTTCTGTACTAGAAACAATTCGAGCAAGCTCTAATTTAATAGCAACTCCAACACGACGTTTACGGAATACTGCATTATCCAGTGGGGAAAATAAATTAAAATTTGGAGAAGAAACTCGATTTTCTGTGACTTCATCTTCGAGACCCAATAGTAATGCATCATGCTATCAAGTTACGTCACTTAATGAATCATCCGCCCGGAAACTTTCAAGGTGATTATTGCCATACAAAGACCTATAGCTCAAATATTCATAAAATAACAATTGTCTATAATATTTATAAAATTGAACTTTTAAAAATGGATTTGCTAAGAATTTCAGGAAACATCCATTGGAACTTATTGCTTATTCGCGCGAGCAGATTGTCAGGACGTATCCTGGCGGTATGCGCATTGATTCTTCCAACTTCAATCCAGTTCAATATTGGGCATTTGGTTTGCAAATGGTTGCTTTGAATTTTCAAACCGCTGACACAGCAATGGCTGTAAATGCAGCAATGTTTGAACAGACAGGGAATTGTGGATATACTTTGAAACCGAGAATTTTATGGGACGATTCCCATCCACACTACAATCGTTTTAATCCGCTCTGCAAAGATACTACTTCAATATCTGCTCTCCTTTATACAGTTACGGTAAATTCTTGCTCATTTCAATCACTTATTGCTATTTTTGAAATCTTGAGAAATAGGGTAACTATAAAGAGAAATAAAATTGATCAGTAATTCAGCATTATGTTACTTTTTCTATTTTGCATCAAAACATCCATATTCGTCTGCAGATTCTCTACGCTTTGCCTAATTCAGTCTGTAATAGCTGAACAAAAAAGCTTTTAAAAATAAGAGTTTAAATTGTAGATGAAACAGGCATATAAATGGTATATGAGTGATAGTAAATAAAAAATTCACGTTTAATTAGAAGAAGTCTAAGGCAGTCAATATTTGAGACCACAAATGTCAGAGCAAAATTTATAGCTTTTGTAGAATCTTCAGAATATGGGTTTTAACTGAAACTCAGCATCAGGTATGTATCTTTCCTTCACAGATTCATTCATCTGCCCCGTAACAGTAAACAATTTTAGGGCTACGTTATGCAAACATGCTTGTATTTTCACTGAAGCAGTTATACAATAATTTTTTTATGATTATTTTTCGTGCTAACATTTGAATTTGTGTTTTTAATTTCCAATTGAAATTCTCTAGATAATATCAGGACAACATGTTTGTCCAAATCAAAATGGTGCTTCAACGTATGTTGAAGTGGAAATCATTGGAATACCAGCAGACTGTGCCAAAGAGAAGAGTAAAACAGTATGTCGAAATTCGGTGAATTCAATTTGGAATCACACTGCAACATTTCGGATCGCTTTCGCTTATTTGGCTTTTTTGCGGATTTCTATTTGCGATAACACAACTGGCAGGTATCTCTTTTCCACATTTCTTTTCCAACATAAATGAATTCCAACATTGTGAAATCAGAAATTCTTTTTTTGTTGTTTCATTACATGTATACTTTATTAGATGTTTGGCACAACGAGTAGTTCCTGTGCGTTGTATTCGGGCAGGATATCGTCATCTTCCGTTACGAACACCCACAAATGTACCGATGGATCAGGGAATCGTATTTCTCTATTCACATTTTGAACAAGAAGAACATATCTATTTGCATGACGAAGATAGTATTATCAATTGTAATACAGATCAGCAGTTGCATCCTCAGATACTCAATATCAATCCGGTTCGATTCTACACGATAAGTGTTAAATGTCTTTTGTAAAACATGCAATTTGTTAGTATTTCAGCAATCACAAAGATTTTAAAAATAAAATTATTCATTTAAGACGGCAGTGATAAAAACAGTTCCTATTCTTAAACGACAAATTTTCGTACTGCGAATATCGGGCTTATATAATGATAATACATCGGTTATTGTGCATGCTGAATTATTCAGCACAGTTCGAAATGTCATAGAAATGGTATGAATGCTAGTTAAATTTATTTATATTCGGTCTTTTCTATTTTGATTTAACTAAATTAAATTTGAATATTCATTTAGGATGACAAATTTCTAAACATAATACTTCATGCAAACCTTTTGTAGGCACTCACAAATGCGGGAAAAAACGCTGACACAGCTGAGGAATATGTTTTGGTTGAAGTAAACAGCAATGAAATATTGAGTAATAATGACGAATATCAAAACATACAATGTGAACATCGTATTTTACCATCCAAAGAACCGATAATGGATTTTGTAGCATGTTGGAATGGTTCCATGCGACGTTTTATCATCAGAAAAAAAGGAACGGCAAGTTTATACTTTCAAAACAGTAAAATTTTATAAAATTTACTTCTAAATTTTAAAGTGTATTATGAATTGGTGAACGTCCAAATGATTTTATGAGATTAATATAATTATTTCATTGTTTGTTCCAGGATCCTAGTGGTAGAGCATGGATCAGTTCCATAATTAAAGGTGGTGTGGGAACACCGTCATCATTAATTCAATCACCATCTTGCGCTCAATCTTCATCGGACAGAAAAGCAAACAATCGTTCTTTAGGACAACATGTTATGCTTCATAGAATAAAATCTTTGGATCCGGATGTTTTCAGCGAAAAGAAAATTATAACTGGTTGATATCTGTTACAGTTTTGAAAGTCTGACAATTTTTTTTCCTGAACTACATGAGATTTTTTTGTCTTCGAACGGTTTCAATTTAAAATTAATTATTTCTCTTTTATCGTTTATAATCTATTCTTCATAGATTTACGTCCACTAACGCGTACAGTGAGTGGAACTTTTCTGGTGTGTATTCATAACGTTAGCCGAAATCAACCGTACATTATTCTTCGGGCGAGTATTTACAGCACGGCTAATGATATCATCAAAGAAGTATCTCGTAATTTATATTAAAAAGCATAAAAAAGAGAACATTCGTAATCCTTGGTGCTGTGTAAACTTAAAAGTTTAGGGATATTGATGATGTATATTTTAGGGTGCGTTAGACATGCGAAGGAAATATTACTTATTATAAATTTTTATCTTTTTTGATGCTTCAACATAAGTTTAGAATTTTTTTTTTACATGTTAACCTTTGATCCGGAATAATAAATGATATAAAAATATTAAACGTAAAAAAAGAAAGAAAAAATACTAAACACAATCATATAGCTATGAATGAACCGTTTTGAGGGAAGTGATCGGATTAATGCGACACGATATGAGATCAGGATAAAGAAGAGGAAAAGCTTTTGCTTACCACAACATTTGTAATAAATGTTTTTGTGAAGAGAATAAAGAAGGGAGCGAATAGGGATGTCTTTACTAACTTAATAGAAATGATAAATGATCCATTCATTTCGAAATCAGATAGCATTATTACCATATGAGTTCTAGCAATTTGTAGAAAGCCTACAATTCAATTTAAAACAATATCAGCTTATTGTTAGAGCGATCTTTGATTTCATATTAGACGAAACAGCATACTTGAAGTAAATACACTACCAACCTACTACTGCATGAATGGATGCCTCTGCTAACTTGATAGGTACAATAAATGATCCACTCCAAAAATTTAACCTTTGTTTATTTGCTAAATTCTGTTAAGGTTTTCCTGAAATCAAAACAAACAAATGTCATTGAATCAGAATATGTGCTGGTTGAAGAAACAATGAAGGAAACAAATTCAGCTCTAATTACATCACTGGAATCGAACATTCTTGGTAATGGTATCTTATTCGCAGTGGAAAATATTAAAGATTTTAACTAGTCGTTGTGTTCAAAATTTTTCGAAAAAAAAGCACGGTAATGGCAAAAAAAATTTTGCATTCCATTTTTACTGTAACTTATCAATCAATGTTGTGAAATATAGCTTTAAAATTTAAACAAATTTTAACAAAATGTAAAGCAAAAAACATGCAATGACAATTTTTAGTAGCAAAACAACCATCGGAATATAAAAGCGTTTCAATGAGAGTGCTAGCGTTAAATGAGATTGTATGGAAAGCACAAAGTGCATGGAAAACATCTGGACGCTTCGTGTTAGAAAGTCGCGAACATACTATTCACTCAACAAGAGAAAAAGTAAGAAATTTATTACAAGCACTCGAGAATGCGCGTGTAAATGCTGGTTCATTACAAAGAAAATGTTGATTTGAAAATTTTCATTCCATTAAGCATTGAAAAAATGTTTATTTAAAAAATTTCACTCATTATTAATAATTTTGCTCACTTTCTGTATTTTATTTCTCCATCTACTTATTATATAATGATGTTTCTATTGTAAATTTACTTAAATCAAACTGAATGAGAGAAATCATTGTTAGAAAAGCGACTATCGACATGAATAGATCTCATCTGAGATCTGCGCATTCAGGTATGTTAATCTTTGCTATCGA